CAAGGCACCAGGAGGTCGCCGGTGGAGGCTAAAGGGATCATTTGAGGAGAATTTGTGTCAAGGGGATTGTTTGCTGAGGGGTGGCCAGGCGTGGGGAGTGGCCGAGTGGGTTGTGAAGACTATATACACAAAACAACAAACAAAACTCAAAAACTCCCCAAATCTAAAACACACACACACACACACACAGTTCTGTTTAAATACATAATGAGTCACCAGATGACGATGAGCCCCATAGGACTATTTACTCAGTTTCTCCAAGGACAAAGAAACAAAAATGTCATTCATTTCATTTCTTAACCATTTCCTGAGTACTTGGTATGTGTTAAGTGCCGGGGATGGAGTACAAAGGTAAACAAAACACTAAAGCCACTAGGAACTGGATTTACGATTTTGTCTATACCTTATGTATTTTTAAATAAAGTTTGGAGTTTTCCAGAAAAGAGCATTTGCAGCAAGGTTAAATCCAGGAGGGAGAATGTCGAGGTGATGTCGTGGGCAACCCTGCCTCTGGCTTGAATTAGACCATGAATTTTCTTACTACACGCTCGAGCTCGGCTTTACAAACCTGACATTTAAATGTCTGAATCTACTGTGAATGTAAAGTGAATGGATGCCTATTCAGTTTTGCGTACAGTTTCCGAGTCCTTGCTGTACGCCAGGCTCTGTTCTAGTCTCAGGGGACGTAGAAATGAAGATTAAGTTGTTCCTCCAGCATTTGCTCATAATTCAGGAAAAGGTCTAAATACCCAAACCCAGCGGGAGAGAAGCCTAGAGAAGGGCCAGGTGAGGCTCAAAGAGGAGCTGACATTGGGTCTGGGCTTTGAAGGGTGAGGATGAGTTTGATGAAATGGACAGGGGATGGGGGACACGTTCCCGGCCAAGGAGATAGCATTGGCCCAGGCCTGGAGGCAGGTGCTTTGGGAACAGGGAGGTGGGTGTGGCTGGAGTGTAGGGTTCAAGGAGAGACAGGGAGGACTGCCCGGGTGGGCCGACTCTCGCCATCCGCAGAAAGATCCAGAAGCCCCATTTCTCTCCCTAGTCCATGTCAGTGTACTGACCCACTCAGAATTAAGGATGGGGCAGAAAAACTTGAAACCATCAGAAAGGAGGGTGTGTACCGAGTAGGCAAGTCCAGAGAAAGTAATTAGGTAGTTCTTAAATTTCTCACCACCTCCCCCCCCAAAAAAGGTGATAGACATGTTAACTAACCTTATTGTAGAAATAACTTCACAATCTATATGTATATGGAGTCATCACGTTGTACACCTTAACTGACACACTTTTGTGTCAGTAAAGCTGGGGAAAATTTTAAAGAAAGGATCTTGGCACTGACAGAAAAAGAAAGTAGATTTGTAGTTGCCGGGGGCTGGGGGGAGGGGAGTATTGGGAGGGACTGATAATAGAGACAGGGTTTCTTTTTGGAGCAATACAAATGTTCTGGAATTAATGGTGATGGTTGTGCAACCTTGTGAATATACTAAAAACCCCAACAACGTGTACACTTTAAAATGGTGAAATCTGTGGTGTATTACTTCTCAACTAAAAAACAAAACAAAACAAGACATGTGGATGAAGCATGTCTGGCATCGACATGGTCGGGCTGTGGAACAACAGACAGGCCCCTCCCCCCTCCTCCCTGCAGCCGCCGCACTGGGCGGCCCTAGCCTGTGCCAGGGGTCAGGCTGCTTGCGGGGAAGCTGCAGGGCAAGCCTCACCCCAGCCCAGGCTCCGCTCTGCCGGGCGCTCCACGGCCTGGGACCAGGCATTTCCTTCTCTGAACTGCAGAGAGGCTCACAGGACGCTGGGGAGAGTCTCCTCAGTCCCTCTGAGCACTAATCCTGTGCCCACAACGAGCATCTAGCACCTCATCCTGGCTCCACATAAGCCCCCAGGAATTGAGATCGAGGTGGACCGAGTAGCAAGTAGCGCTCAAAGCCGTGGCCATAGCCAAAGTAGGTGCTGTTGTTTAAAAACATGCAATAGCTCATTTGATTCTTCCAGCACCACTGTGATGGAGGTATTACTACGATCTCCATTTTATGGATGGGGAAACTGAGGCCCAGAGAAGTTAAGCAACTTGTCTGAAGTCACACAGCAAGGAAGTGGCAGAGGCAAGACTGGAAATCAGGCTATCACACTGTCCCCCAGCCCCCACCCCACTGCCATGCAGTCTGGACTTGAACCCCTGGGCAAGGGCGTCACTGAGAGGCTTGAACTTGGAAGTGGCACCCTGCCTACAGAAGGGTGGATGGGGTGGGGGTTACGGCCATTGTCCAAGAGGTGGTGGGTGTGTTTCCCGGGTCCTTCACAGAGTCGTTCAGAAAAACCAAATACTTAACAAAAATCCTGCAAGGGGGTCTCTAGGTCCGGGTGATTTGACTGTGCGCTTTACACCACCTTCTGTCTGTCCCAGAAGCACCCTCGTGGCTCAGCCTGGCCCACTTCTGTGACTCTGGCCTCTCCAGGCTGATCTCTTGCCCAGACCCTGCCTGCCCCTCCCAGAGCCTCCTGGGGCTCCTGAGCTCCCCGAACCGCTGCCCCCCCCCGCAGGCTCAGTGCCCCGGGGAACCCAGCGGTGGCCCCCCAAGACGTCCGTGCACAACCCCCAGGACCTGTGAACATGTCTCAGATCATGAGATTAAGGCTCTTGAGAGGAGAACCTAATCCTGGGTCATCGAGTGGGCCCCAAATCCAGCGAGCAGCGCCCTCATGGGAGACGCACAGGGAAGAGGGGGAGGCGGTGTGACCACCAGGGTGGAGAGACTGGGCCCGGCCACAAGCCCAGGGACCCCCGGGGCCTTCGAGGCTGGAGAAGGCAGGACTGTTGTCCCCTGCAGCCTCTGCAGGGAGTGTGGCCCTGTCGACACCTGGGTTTCAGACCTCTGGCCTCCAGAACTGAGAAACTACATGTTTTACACCCCCAGTTTGTGGTTGTGCGGGCGGCCGGGAAACTGAGTGCCTTGCACATTGCTTTCCTCCCTGCGCTGCCTCTGCCCTCCCTGGGGATGTCCCACTTGGTCCACAGCCTCCCAGCAGTGGCCTCTCCTGTGGGTCCACTGCTCCACCTAAACACTCATCCCTAAGCTTCCGCTGGGTGCGCTGCAGGCTTGTGCACCCACATTCCCCGAGTCCTTCCCTGGGCCAGGTGCCTTTCGGACACCCCCACACACTGAAACTGCAAAGTCCCCATGAAAAGCCAGAACACAAAAAAGCAAGCAGGCAGCGCCGACTCTCCACTGCTGTTTCTGTCGGACCACGGGTCCTTCTCGTCCCTGTCCTCTTCGGTTCACAGAGTCTTTGAGGGCAGGAGGCGTACACATGGGGTCCAGGGAGGCCCACCCTGAAGCTCCGTGGGGGATTCCAACCACAGTGTGCGTGTGTGTGGCCTGTGCTGGGGTCGGTAAAATGCTGGCCCCTGAGACGGGGACAAAGCCACTTCCTCCTGGAAGCACACAGGGTTTCTCCTGACCCGTGAGCTCAGACCAGGGACTAACCCAGGCTGGCACTTGAGCAGATTCCAACGACACTTCCTCACCTGCTGCAGGAGGTGTCCAAGGGCCCCGCGGGGAGGCTCCTGGGGTTCCACATAAGAAACCCGGCACACACAGACATGCAGTATCACTGCCTCCCTGCTGTGATTTAAAGGCCTTTGCCGGAAAGATGCTGGTGGCCCCGGGGCCAGGGCCTGTGGCAGGGGCCAGCACCCGGGACACCTGCCTTGCCCAGGCTGGCCAGGGGTGGTGTCTGCCAAGATCCTGGGTCCTGCCAGGTTGCCCTGCAGTCAGAGGCCCACCTGCACCCTGCTGGGGAGCTGGGGCAAGTGTAGGAATCCAATGACCTCATGTGTCAAGGGCGTGGGGCCCTCCTGGGGATTTGGAATTGGGGCCACCCAGGGCCAGGTTCCTGGGCTGGGCTGCGGGCTCAAGGCACAGGCGTGCACTGGCTACTCCACTATCTCCGTGTACCCCCTGCGGTTCTGGGGGAGGGAAGGCACGTTCCGGTGGTTCTCAGTTGGCGGCCTCAGCCTTCAGCTGTGCAACTGGGGTGTGGAAGTAGGACTTCGGGAACCCCCTACTCTGTGCCAGAGCAGGGCCCGAAACAGGTGCCTGCAAGGTAACAATTCCCCAGCAGCGACCTGCCTCCAGCGCCTGGTCTTGCTCCCACGCCACGCGCGGTGTCTCATCTGGGCAGTCCTGCATCCGGGCTGGCTCCAGGTCCGCAAAACGACGTCCTAATATTACTGGGCAGCTGCGACAGCGGCTGGAACCCCCCGCCCTTCATCCGCCGCCCCCCCCCCCCGCCGCGACCTGGATGCTCCAGGCTGCGGCTGCAGTGAGGGGACCCCTGCTTCCTCTTCCGAACAGACCAGAGAAGCCTTTCCCTCTCCCTCCAACGCGGCGCAGCGCGCCGAGCGCTCCCTCTGCCCTGAATACCCAACCCTCCGGCTGCCCCGGGGCGTCCTCCCAGTCCGGGCGCCGTGCCCCGCTCAGGGGAGCGCTTCCCCCACGTCCCGAAGCCTCCCCCCTCCATTCGCATCCGCGCCCCCTTGCCGCGGGCACGCCCTCTTTCCGGGGCCCCCTCCCCAGCCCAGCCGCGCGCCACGGGGCCGCTCCGGTGCCCCCCACTCCGGGGGACCAATCCATCCCTCGGCTCGCCCCCTTCCCGCCGCGAGTCGCCGCGCGCCCCCGCCCGCGTTCCCGGGGCGCTCCCTCCCCCTCCCCGCCACTCGCCGCCGCCGCGAGCCTCGGGTCCGGGCGCGCCCCCCGCAGCCGGGACGGGCGCGGGTCCCCGGGGAGCGCTCCTTTGTGCGGCCCCGCGCGCTGCGTCAGGGCGGAGTTGCCGCCGCCGCCACACGCGCGCACTCTCCCGCGCACGGGCGGCCCCGGGGGCGGCGGGAAGGGAGGCGGCGAGCGGGAGGAGGGAGCGGCCGCGAGCCCATTCGCTCGGCTCCCCCGCCCGGCCCCGCGCGGCGCCGCCTCCGCCATTGCTGCGCGCGGGAGCGGCCGACGCGGAGGCTCGCTGCGCGCTCGGAGCCAGACCTGCGAGCGGGCGTGGGTGAGTGCCGCCCGCGGGCCCGAGCCTTCCGCCCCGAGGCGGGGGCCACGGCCGCCCGGCGCCCCGGTGGTGGTGGTGGGGGGGGACGGGGGAAGGGGCGCTCCGCGCGGGTCCCCGGCGCCGGGACGGGGCGCGCCCCCTCCCCGGCCGCGGTGCGCCCCTGAGCCCGGCGCTCGGGTCCCGCGGGGTGGGGGGGAGGGCCTGGGACATTCACCCCCCCCTCCACCCCGCCCCAGTCCCGGGCGGCGACCGCCGCGTCCTCCCGACCCCTCCTCCCCGGAGGCCAAGCGGGGGCCGGCGAGCTCGCGGTGACTCCTGCCCGGCCCTCCCTCGCAGGCGGCAGCCTCGGGTCTCCCGGAACGATGGTGAAGTTGGGGAACAATTTCGCGGAGAAGGGTACCAAGCAGCCACTGCTGGAGGATGGCTTCGACACCATCCCCTTGATGACGCCCCTCGATGTCAATCAGCTGCAGTTCCCGCCCCCGGACAAGGTGAGAGCCCCCCGGCACCCCCGCGCTGCCTGGTGCGCACCCCAAGTCTCGGGCGGCGGCCGCAACAAAAGAGACGCGCGGCGTGCGCTGGGGATGGGAAGTGGGGGCGAGCTCGGGCGGCGGGAGGAAGGCCCCCCCAGGAGGACAGCGTGCCCGCGCGGGATTCCGGATCGGGAGACAGCTCGGTCCTGACAAGGGAGCGCAGTCGGGGGAAGGTCCCTTATCGATTTTCCTGGGAGTCCTGTCCGAGAGGTGTCCCTGGCTCCACCGCGGCAGCCCCCCAGCCCTGCTCTTCCCCGCCCCTGCCCCACGGTAGCAGGGGGCTGTGGGTCGGGGGTGAGACTTGGGGCGCGGCTGCCCGGTGTGCCCGCCCAGGTGATGCGGTTTCAGCCCGGTTTGCCCCGTGGCCGTGGGGAGGCCCCTCTCCTGGGCCCGATGGACCCTCGTTGAGGGGCTGGCTTCCCATCCTCACCCTCCCCGCCTGTCCCTCCCAGACTGGCTGTAAGATGCTGCAGGGTGTCTGTTCTGACTGGGAGCTTCCTTCCTCTCTTTGTTCCTTTTGTGAAATCTTGAAGTAAGTGCTCTCTGCTAGCTGGGTATTAGTGTAACTGGAGACAACCATTCATCATCCTTTCCCCAAAGTGGGTTTTTCTTTTCTGAATTTAGAGTCCCTTTTCTTGAGTACAGTATCCAATCAAGTAGTTTCTGTGTGTGGAAGATAATCTTTTCAAGAGTTAACTTTTAAAAAGGTAAATGCGATGATTTAAAGTCTCGACAATTGTATTGCACAACTCCAACCTAAAATACTATACACAGCATCCGTTCTGACCACCTTGCTGCCGCCTTAAAAACCACCCCGGCCGCGAGTAAGCTCGTTCTAGTTCCCGAAGTGCGTTTACATTTATTGTCTCATTTAGCCCTGGCAAGGACGTTCTGACTCAGGTCTTTGTCTTTCATTCCGGCTTGTTGGTGACTGCTGACCACCGGATGGGGATGGGGGGATATCTATGCAGTGATGGGTCCTTCCCTTCTGGAAGATTCCTTTATTCCCATGTGGACCCTTTGACTTACTCAGCCCTCTTTAGAGTGGTTTCCATCCCCCCAAGTCCGTTGTCTGTGTTGTGGGTGGGGGGCAGGGGCAGGAGCGTCGGCCTGGCAGCAGGTGTTTCGGTTCAGGAAGAGGATTGGCTTGGGCACACCTGTGCACCCAGGCCACGTGGGGCCACTTTGGGGGCACTGAGGGTCCGGAGGAGGCTTGGGGGGAGGGGTGGGGCAGGGCTGCCTCCCCTGGCGCATCCCCTTCACTGTCTGGGCTGGTGGACTTGCTGGGCTAGCTCGGCCGGGGGCGGGGGGCTGCCCCCACCTTCCCCTCCCGCCTCAGCTCCAGAGTGGTGCTGGCCTGTGCCAGGAACGCTGAGTCCCAAGGCAGCACCTCGGTCAGGTGACTCCCTCCGCTCAGCCTGAGCCTCCTCTTTTGCCCTCGGTCTGTTCCGTTCCAGCATTGTCCGGCACACAGTTGGCTTATAGCAGGGAGGGGGATTTCAGGCAGGGGTGAAATTCTGGCCAACCAACTGGGCATTTAGAAGTAGTCTAGGTAGGTCCGAAAGGTAATGAGTCTCCCATCCCTGGGAATGTTCAGACAAAGGGGGGGAAGTGGCAGGGATGGGTTGGAACCAGTGGTTGGGTTGGAAGATTTCTGAGGTCACAGATGAGAAGACTAAGTCTCAGAGAGTTCACGGGATGGGTCCAAGGTCATACTACCAAAAGCCACAATCCGCCCCCCCCCCCCCCCCCCAGTGCAGAAGCTTCTGGCATGGGCCACACGTTCCATCCTGCTTGGGACGTGACCTCTCACGCGAGACCTCACTTAACCGGAACAAGAGCGCTGTGTGGCTCACAGGCAGGGTTCGGGGAGGTGATGTCACCTGTCCCAGGTGCCGCGGCCGCTGGGGTCAGGTAACCCGTCGGGGTCGTAAGTGGTGCTCAGAGTGTGTACCGAGTGCCGCGGTTCGACAGTGACAGTGGTCATGGAGCTCACAGCAAGGCCCGGGCTGCTCTCACCTGACATTTGTCCAGTAACTTTACTGATTTAGCCCCCGTTTTACAGATATGGAGATAGAGGGTCTATCTAGTCCAAGGTCACCGAGCGTGTTAGTGGCAGAGGCAGGTGAATCCAGGCCCGGAGCATATTGACTGTGTTCCCACTGCACTGAGCGTTGTACGGATTCCCCCCTCCTCCCTGCAGCCGGGTGAGATAGGCCCTGTTCCCATTTCACAGGCCAGGACACTGAGGTTCCGAGTGGCCAGGCAGGTGCTCAAGGTCACACAGCGAGTCAGGGACAGTTGGGATTTGAGGACAGTGGGGTGATGCTCAGATGCTGCCTCCAGAGCCGGGGTGGGGGCACCCACAGTCACAGTAGGCATATCCGCCCTCTTGGCATCCCGGGAGCTGCGTGCACGGAAGGGACCGAAGGAGGGAAGGCACGAGTCTGATTACAGTTCTGTGGCCCTTGGATCACTTTTCGGTGGCGGCTGGCATGGGCCGCTTTCTCTCCCGGGGCTGGCTCCAGGTCACCGCTCGGTCCGAGAGCCCCTGTGGAGGCCCACGCGGGGCCCACCATCCTGACTCGCTGCGTTCTGCGAGGTCTGCCCTGGGGCCCATGGTCACGGAGAGCACCGGGTGCGAACCTCTCTCTCTCTCTCTCTCTCTCTCTCTCTCTCAGCTGGGGCGGGGGGGAGAGCGTGGGGGTGGCTGGTGCTCTGCAGTCCAGCTGCCGCTTCTTGGCTCCTGGAAGCTGGGGGCGGCAAGCGGGGACTGGAGATGGGCAACCCCATGATGCCTCCCTCTGCAGCTCGGACAGCGCAGTAAATTGTCCCTGGCTTCAGGCAGGAGGAGGAAAGGGCTGTGAGCCTCCGAGGGAGGAGGCTGGACGGGGCTCATCGAGAGCTGCTGGGGATGCAGGGAAGGGTGTGTACGGGGCAGAGCAGGGCAGGTGCCTGGGTGGAGAAATCTCTCCCAGTTCGCGGTAGAGAGCGGAGGGAAGATGAGCAGGGAGACCCTCTGGGGGCCATTGCAGGGGCAGGAGAGGGGGAGGATGGTGGGGTCGGGGCTGAGAGATGCAAGATGCATTTCCTTGAAGGCCTGCCGCTGCTCCTTCCTGATCCTCCTCGCCTCTCCCCTCGCTCTACCCATGGCGGAAACCGAGCGCACTCCCCGGCCACCGTGTCGGGGGTTAGCCCTGGCACCCACTGGCTGGGTGGCCTTTGGCCTACGAGCTTCACTTCTCTGGCCCGGAGTTACCGTCTTTCCCTCCTGGGGCTGCTCTCAGGATTATTCACGGGCCCTTTCTCTGAAAGTCCTGGCACCGAGATGTCCAACAAATGGTGGCTGTTCACATTCTTTTTGTGACACACCTGTGGGCGAAATGGTGACTTGTCCTCACAGGGCAGGTGTGTCCGCGCGCATCTGGCCGCGCTGCTGACGCTTTGCTTCCCTGTTTCCCGGACAAGGTGGTTGTGAAAACGAAGACCGAGTACGAGCCTGACCGGAAGAAAGGCAAAGCGCGCCCTCCCAAGATAGCGGAGTTCACCGTCAGCATCACCGAGGGGGTCACCGAGAGGTTCAAGGTGAGCGGCCCTGGATGGGAAAGATGCTGCTTTCGTGTCCAGGGCATTGGCGGGGGGGGGGGGGGGGGGGGGGGGGGGCGCCAAGCTGGCCCCTGGAGAGACGGGAACAGGATCCACCCCAGCTGTGCAAAACCCACCCTGTGCCTTTGCAAATTCCTTCTTTATTTCCTTCATCTTCCAAAAGGACCACACATAACTTGGTGGGGGCTGTTTTTGTGTTTAAAAATTTTTAATTTTAATTTATTATTTTTTAAAATTCCGGCACGATGAGCATACAGTGTTATATGAGTTTCGGGTGCACAGTATAGTGATTGAACGGTTCTGTCCATTTCCCAGTGCTCGCCACGGTAAGTGCGCTCTTCATCCCCTTTGCTGACTTCATCCCTCCGCCCGCCCCCCCCTCCCCTGGGTTCTAGAGAACAAGCCGCCCAGTTTGTTCTCTAGAGTTAAGAGTCTCACTTAGTGGGAAAACCCACCCCCAAAACTTTCTTTTAGACAACGGTTACAGACAGGTGAACAATCACTTTACCAGACTTTAAGATCCTTACCTCACCGGTCCAGGAAGGAAGCAGGCTCACACAAAGGTAAGGCGGCCTACTTATTACCTGCAAGACCTGGTTCTGGGCCTCCTCCTTGTTCCAGCTGAGCTCAGGGAGCCTCCCCAGAGGTCAGGACTATTCGGACAACCCATCTTGCAGACGGGGAAGTTGAGGTGCAGAGAAGTCACGGCCGTCCGGGCTCCAGGGGCCTGTGCTCAGCCTCCACCCTTCAGCAGCCCTGGCGTGATGTGGAGGTGCGGGGCTTGGCTGGCCGGTGTTCCCTGTGCCCGGGCCACTGGGAGCGCTCACTCGTGGTCGGGGAGGCCTTGTTCTGGATGGCTCTCCAGGGAGGAAGAGCTGCTGAAAGGGGCAGGGTTCCAGCCAGGCCAGGGGTGGAGCTGTCCCCAACGTCAGGTGGCCTCAGAGGGTGGAGATAGCTGCGTTGGTTGAGGAGCAAGTCAGGATGCTGATCTTCTGGAAACTTGTTCTTTGAGAAACGCGAGAGACAAGAAAACGGTGGCCCTCACTCACCCAGATTCAAAGGGGTGATTTGAGAGACCTTGCAGAGTGGCCGTGGCTGCCTCTCTGGTGGCTCTGTGTGTGGCTGTGTAAGCAGCTTGCGGGTGTCTGGGTGCACAGACGCTTGGACCCCCGATCCCTGCAGTCCCCCAAAGCACCTGTGCATTCAGCGTCCCGTTCATGTCATGAAAACCCTGGGCACTGGTTACTAGCTGCAAGTGAAGCTCACAGAGCTGAGGTGACTTCGTGGGCCAAGTAGGGAAGCCCAGGGTGTGCTGTGACTCTGAATCCCTCCTTGGCATCGCTCCAGCCTGCCCCACGGGCTGGAGAAACACGGTGCAGGGCCTGCCGGGCCGGCGGACCCCTCTGAGCCGCGATCTTTTGTGTCTGCGGGGTGTTCACCCGTGTGATTTATCTGCCCCGAGAGGCGGGCACGTCTGGTAGAACCCACTTTCTAGCGGCAGGATTGAGGTGCAGAGAGTCCCGCGTCTGGGGTTCCTGCTGCTGGTATGAGGATGGTGTACGGGCTGAGATGCTCCTCGGGTGGCTCCTGGCTGGGCAGTCTGTATGTGTCATTAAGTTCACGGCCAGGACCAGATTAGATTGACCCAAGATTGACCCAAGATCAATCCGTCTTCCGCTCTGACCAGCCAGCTTCGCGTGTCTTCTCTGCGGCTGCTCGGATGACCTGCATTCCCCGTGCCCTGGGGATCGCCTCCTGGCTGAGGCAGAAGTGACCTCAATTTCAAGGTCATCCTAGCCATCATTCTGATGGCTGACACCATCTGGGTTTCTCATGCCTGATTTGACCTTTGCCCTTCTCAGCCCTGGCATTTTAGGTCCCCCCAGAGTGGGGTGCTACCCTTCATCCTTTGGGGTCCATTGTGTGCCGGGCTCTGTCCCCCAGCTCCGGTGTCCTTCGTTTGTGTTTTTCCCGCACGCTCACCTGTTACGGGTCCCCAGGGCTCCCACTGAAGGCATGGGGGACGCACATTGGCCACCAGGGCTCTCGGCAGCATTGGTGTGGTTACCTGGCTCCAGGTGCCCAGAAGCCGAGGGCTCAGAACATCTGAGCCCGTCCCTGTGGACGGGGCTGTGGTGGCAGAACCCTGCCTCATCTCTGCTCCCACCTCGTGGGGGATGTCCAAGAAGGTGATATATACAGTAGGCGCTCAGTAGGGCACTGCATCGCAGTGAGCCCATTCCCTAGTCTTATACTGAAACCTTCCGGGCACGTTCATATGCTTAGCCTCCGTGGCCTCCTTAGCGTTCACAACCACGCTGAAGGGGGCGGCGCGGAGGCTTTAGAGTCCCAGGTGGTCTCGGGGGGCTGGGGGGCTTCTGATTGGTCCGAGCCTCCGAGGCCAGTGCCTTTCCACCCCCGCTCCCCCGGCCTGCCACACACACCTCCACACAGGCCCGCCTTCCAGCTCCTTCCAGGGCCAGCTCAGCCACCAACTCCTCCACGAAGCCTCCGGGGATTGACCTCACCCTCCTGGGGCTTCTGATGTCCTTTGTTAGGAGCAGTAACAGGATGAAAACCGGGAGCGCTCCCACGAGCCAGACTCCGGGTCAAGCTTGTGAGACTTCCCAGCTCACTTAACCCTTGTAAAAACCTCGTGAAGTGTGCCTTGTTGTCCCCGTTGCACAGTGGAGGGGAAACTGAGGCAGAGAGCTTGGCCCTGGGCAGCCTGCACCTGGCTGTGACACCCGAGGTGATGTGGCTTCCCCCCTGGGAAACATGTTTACATGGGCAGCTCCCCTCTCCAGGCAGCCCACGTTGCTGCTTTTTCCTTTTTTTTTTTTTAGAGATTTTATTTATCTTAGAGAGGGGGTGGGGTAGAGAGAAAGAATTCCAAACAGATTCTCTGCTGAGCATGGAGCCTGACCTGGGAGCTCGATCTCACAACCTGAGCCAAAATCAGGAGTTGCCCGCTCAACCGACTGAACCCCCCAGTGGCCCCTGGACTATTGTGCGTCTAAGAATCCTTTGCCTTTGTTGATTTGAAGCCCCTCCTGGTGAACCTCTGCCCGGGGCCCTCCATCTGTCCCCTGAGTCACACAGAACACAGGTCACCCTCCTTCCCAGCAGCCATGTACTTGAGTCTTCTCCGGCGTAAGCCTCACTTTCCTCTGGTCTCTTCCTTCATGTCACAGCATCCGGGCTCCCCCTGTGAGGGGCCCAGGCTTCTCTTCAGGTGTGACCAGGAGTCCTGGCGAGGTCCAGTGGGGCGGCCTCTCTGTGCCAGCCAGGATAAGAGCCTGTCCTCTCTGGGGATGTCCAGGCGCCTCCAGCTCGATGAGTCACTGGGTGACTAGCTGTGCTGCTGGCCTGGAGTACGGGGGGACTTGGGGAGACTTCCAGGGTCTGCCTGGGGGACCCTCGCTTGTCGAAGAAGGCAGCTCCCAATAGAGCCCTCTCTCTAGGCCACGTGTGGGTGTAAGCCCTTTCCAGGTGTTAACTCACCAGTTCCCCACCCGGATGGGCAGACGACCCCCAAGGTCACAGTCAGTGGCAGAGCGTGAGCTGAACAGGGTGGCCTGGCCCACTTGACTGGGAGGCCCATGGGCCAGACTCACACAGCTGAACGCCCCGCGTTCTGTGGGCACGTCCGGCTTTTGTGCCAACACCCTTCTGAGCAGGGAAGGAGATGTACCTGGTTCCCCATGCACCTGCCACGGGGGCTGTGCATGAGAGGCGGCCCCCAGAGCACCGTTCCTCTAAGTGTGGGACCGCTAGCACTGAAATCACCAGAAGTTTGATTTTTAACAGAGGAACCCAGGACCCTGGGAACGCGCACTGTGATGAGCTCTCCAGGTGATATACCGAGTTTGTGGATAGAGGTGCATCCTAGCACAGGGGCAGGGCAGGCTCAGGAGGGCTGACGCCTTTTGGAAATGCCAAGGGCGTTCACCCTTCTGGAATGTTCTCCCAGCCTTTTATTGCCCAATTATATGTCTGGCATCTTTGAACGGAGCACCCAATAGGGCATGTTTGTCCTGTGCGGCAGCAGCCGGCTGAGGGCTGGGGAGCGAACCTGTGACGGGAGGCGGGGGGTGGCGGGGGGAGATCTGCCTCCCCCGAGGCCGCACTGGGGGCTCCGTCGCAGCTTTGGTCTGGCCAGAACCTCTTCTGGGCAGCTTCCATGTGACGCCCAGCCCGGCCGTTCCTCGGCCCTTCTCATTTCTGTGCGTGAACTGCAGGGATGAAACCGTGTCTTTCTGGCTGTTGAAGCAACAAGTAAATAACGCGTCCCCCTTTGTCTCTAATTTGTGCACTTCAGGAGCAAGGAGCTGGCTGCTTTGCATCTCCTTTTTTATATACCTTTGGATGGCATCCTTGAGACGAGATGTCTTTTTGGATGTTACTTTATGGTTATCGCTCAGGGATGAATCTCTTGGCTCCGAGGTTGCTAGGCTGGTTGCTAGGTAACCGCTGATGGGGAGAGGGTTTTGTACGACTCCGCCACGCTGGGATTGCTGGATGAATCACCCAGCAGCGTCAGAAGCCGAGGCTTCCAAAGAGGTTAGTGTCAACGAGGAAAAAGTGCTCGTTTAATTAATTGGAGGTGGATTTATGCTGAGAATCAACACAGGTTGAGATGTTTCTCAAACTAAGTAAACCTAAACATTCTTCCGGTGGCGCGGTCCTGCTCCCCGGCTCCGGGGCAGAGCGGAGTGTCAGGGTGCGGCTGGGGCTGCTGCTGAGGGTGCCCTCCCATCGCAGAAGCTGGAGGGGCCATAATTAGGCAGATTAAAGGAAGGTTCCATCAGGTTCTGCCTTGTGGCTGCCCTGATGGAGAGCTGTTGAAGTGTCCGAGATCCACACACCTTCTTTCTGTGAGTTATAAGGGTTCGGGTGAGCAAACCGCATGCCCTCCGCCTGGTGCCACAATACCCTCAGGGCTCTGGGAGGGTCTGAGCGCCTTTCGTGGTCCGCAC